CTCAAGCTTATCATATTCTTATATATCCACAAGAAGATCATTTTGTTGAGTGAAGAAAAATCACATATTCTCAAAGCAAGTATACAAATATTCTTGATTCTCAAGAAAACGAATTCTTAGTAAAAGTAAATCAATAATCTTGAAAAAGAGTATCTTAGTGTTACGTCAACAACCCCATTTTCGTATCGAGAATAGATTTCTTAAGTCAATAATAATGTATCTTTCTTTTTAGAAAAACTTATTCATGTAACTACAATCTTGTATAATTCTTCATTTGAGTATTATAAATTATTGACGCAAGAATGGATTTTTTGATACAAAAAATTGATGTTCTTCGATGTTAAGAATATGACATACTTCATTCGATAATATTTCTATTCTTACACAAAAAAACATTTTTGTTTGAAGGATATCTTATACTTGTTTCTAAGAAACACATTCAAGAATCAATTTTTCTTGAGAGTCAAGAATAATTTCCCTCAGTGTAGTAGTTACGAAACTACTATGCACTTACACTGTCCCACATACATGCAACATACCTCAATAGTACAAGCATTGGGTAGTTTTGCAAAGAGAAAGTTTTGCTTGGAAAAGGTGACGTCTTACTTTTCGATCAATAAAAATATACCACAATCTAACGCTGAATAACAATTAAAATTAGAACTAACACTAGAAATATTCGGATTTAGCCGTACGTCTCTCAATACAGCTAAACTCGAATGATTCTAGTTCTGTGTCTTGTATTAGTTCTAGTGATAGTGCTAGTGTAAAACTAGAACTAACACCAGTCCTAGAAAAAGAAACATTCGGATTTAACCGTACGTCTCTAAAGACGGCTAAACCCGAATGATTCTAGTTCTAGGTATAGTATTAGTTCTAGTTTTACACTTCCATTATCACTAGAACTAACATTAGACCTAGAACTAAAAACATTCGGAAGAAGACGCACGGCTGAACACCACTGTTTCTAGTTCTACGAGTAGGTCTAGTGTTAGTTCTAGTTCTACACTAGCACTATTGCTATGTAGAACTAATACTATACCTAGAACTAGAATCATTTGGATTTAGCCGCACGTCTCTAAAGACGGCTATAAGTATAGTGTTAGTTCTACTATTATACTTGCACTTAGGGCTTACAATACCGGACCAAAATCTCAATACCGGTATTCGGTATTCAAAATTTTTAAAACCGGGATACCGGTATTAATACCGGTATTACTATAAAAAAGTTTACTCACTAAATTACAATCCCTAGATATATCTAATTGTAAGATTTTTTCCCCTCTGCGGCGTCACCTCTACTAACAACAGGTTAATTCCTACTATATTTTTAGATTGGCAACAAAGCATAAGATACAGAATCTGAGAAGATAATCAAAAAATGGAAAGATATTAGGAATCTGTACAAAGTACCAATAAACTAGTACCAATACCATTATTGTTTTGTTGTTTTTCACTTGGTCCAAAATTTCAACTTCACTACCGCGTCAAAAAATGAAATTACATTTCATCATCTGAAGCTCTGTGGAATTCTTTCGAATTCCTGCTTTGGAATTTTCTGGAAAGGGGCAGATTCAAGAAAGAAACTTTAAGATAATGGCTCTTGGTAGTGTGTTAGACTTATCAGACCTATGTTATACTTGGTGGGACACTACACGAATCAAACTGACCTGAAACACCATTATGGAGTAAAAACTCCAAAAATAGTTGTATGCAGAGAGTATTTTANTATCTCTACCAACTGATAACTTTCCGAAATGATGTCCACCGAATAAATACGCGATTTCGCGGAAGACTGTCGCCACCCTTCTATCGTTTGTCTTTCTTTCAGAGATCATACATATTTCAAATAACTTCGAAATATAATGAGGTGGACGATAATTGCAAGGGGTTCTCACTACGAAGGTTTAAATTTATAGAAATATTCTTGTTTTCTTGAACAATGTCTACATGGGGGCAAACGCTGATCTGACATGTTTTGCAATCTTGTTGTTGTATCTAGCTGTTGCTTTGTAATTTTTGGCCGAGTCATGTTTTTCTTTTTTTGTTTCTTAGGTTAGTTAGAGCAGCTGTACTAACTAGTACAAGCTGGAACTCGCCTATTTTCTTTTGTATGTTTTTTTTTGGTACAATTAAGCTTATTTTGTAATAAAGGCATTTATTATTATTATTATTATTATTATAATTATACAATTTGCATTGTGATAGTGACTAAACTAGGTATCAGTGGATAATTCCTGTATCTAGACGATGATTCGTGCATTCATTCAAGTATTACATTGTTAACAAATAGAATGGTATCGGACTTGACATTTACTTTAGAGACAGAACCGTTAACATCGATAGGAAAACAGACCGTATGTTGGCCGTCAAATTTGCGTTGGATATATATCATATCATAAACGTTGTCTGCATATATACACCTCAAACGGGGTATACGGAACCGGAAAAGCAGTAATTCTAGGAAGACCTAGATGAGGTCATAGCTGACATACCATCAGGGGAGATTAAATTCGTCTTAGGCGACCTGAACGGCCACGTTGGCAAAAAGAGCAGCACCTGTTGGTACGTTTACGGAGGGTATAGGTACGGTATTGAAATTAAAGTTGAGTATCCGGTCACCTACAAAAGTCGGGGAAGATCATCACAGATTGACTTCATTCTGGCTAATAAAGACTAAAGAGAAAACTTCAAGGATAGTAAAATTATATCGGGTGAACCACTAGCTGCTCAACATAG